AGTAAATATTGAAGCTAATTAAATCAAAATTGATGCTTGCAACAACTCTTTACCAAGAAATACGTTTATGGTAAAATTTTGGAAAATCGGCGTGGCACCGCCCACTTATGATCACATATATGTACATCGGTAACCGTTCTACCAATTTGTGCCAAACTCGGTATTTTTATTGTGCTTGCTACATAAAAGCAAAACGTTGAAAATTATTGAAATCAGACTAAAATTACGGTCGCTTTTCATATAACGGTACATTTCAGAAATGCTTGAAATATTTCGAAATTTAAGGATGCTAGTTTACTTAATATTTATACACCCGCTTATCATGTAGCGGTAGCTTTCGGAAAGATGAAAAAACATATATTTAATACTTGCGCCGGGTATTTAATGTTCGGCTCCACCCGAACTTAGACTTTCTTACTTGTTTTTTTTTTAATTTTTTTCGTTTTAATTACGAAAAAGCCTCTGTGAAGTGCAGAACCAAATCAAACGAAGAAGAAGAAACTTGGTTCAAGTTGAACAATTGAAGAGACATTTATAAAGCGGCTGTAGCTGAGTGCTTGCTGTTATTTGCTAACTTTCAGAAGATGCGGGTTTAAATTCCCCTAGAGGCAACAGATTAAAATAATAATACAAATTTTTATTTTGTATCTCCGAATTATGAAAAAAGCATCCTTGGAGTGCACAAGCGTATTCAAACGAACAAATTGACAACCAAGAGCTTGGTTAATGTAAACAAAAGTATGGTTAATATTACCAAATCATTGTTGAAAATATCAACTAAGGTATTGTTAGTATTAACCGAAAAACACGTTGATTCCTTTTCAAGTTTGAATTTGATAATATTAACCAATTTTTGGTTGATCTTTTTCTCAGTGCAGCCATTTACTAAAATTGCAGGATGTTAATCTGTAAACTCTTTGGAGGCTCTGTTCAGAGATGCTCTTGTGTGCCACTAATAAGTTATTTCTTTCTTGCCATTTATATTAAGCCAGTAAGGAAAAAAAAACCTAAAATGAGTAAAAGCTAATACAAAAATCGGAAGTACATCCTTATATACACAAAAAAATTTGCACAAATACATGAAACATTAATGCCACTGAGTGATCGATGGTCGTTTTCATGAATTTAGATACACATACGAATTTATATCAATATGTACACTAGTGTGCCTCACCAAAAAAAAAGTGGTGGTATTCCTGCCGTAATTATAAAACCTATTATATTTAAAGACTCCCGCGAGTTGAACCCATTGGAAAGTACCTCAAAAAATCCGATTTCTTTATAAGCAAAATAAATTTTTAAAAATATTGTTTTCAAAAATCACCTTTCATGAGTTTAGAGTTTAAATTTAAAAGGTCTGCAAAGAAATGCTTGACATTTTATTATTAACGGAATCAAAATAATGAAGTGCTTTAGAAACTCTTGAAATATTATATAATTTTTTATAATTCTGATGGAAAACAGTACCAATTTGTTTGTATAGGGTGTGATGGACCCTAATGTACTCGCATACATATGTATGTATATTTGATACGATATATTTTAAATTCCTTAAATAGCAAACAATGTGTGTATACTAGGATTGGTTAATTTGTATGGAACGGGTTTTTCGACATCTTTGCTAGCAGATTCGAATTCTACATTCCAACATTAAATTTAATATTATCTAATAAAAGGAAGCTTTAGTAGAACTTAGTATAAATTTAAGATAGTTTCTTTTATAATTGGACGGGTCCGAATTGACTTTAGAGCTATGCCCTTGTGGATTTTTTTTGAATTTTATATAACCAGAAGCCGAGTTCGCTAGGAAGGATTTCACAAGAAATTAAAACGCCATAATATACATACATACTTATATCAATCTTGCTGCTCAATCTGTTGATGCACAAAGTCCAAAGATTATATAGATACAATATTTAAGCAAAAAATAAAAAATACTTCACGAAGCTTGCCGCTTTATAGGCATTCGTGTACGTGTGAGAAAATGTTTAAAGCGAAATGTGACAAAAGCTTTTCAATTTCTCTTAATTCGTTAACTTGTCAAGTGTTTCAGAAGGGTCAATCAATTACTATTTTTTTTTATTTTTTTTTTATTTAATCAGCCAATACAAAAGTGTACGCAAGTCGAATTGCCCTGATTTGGCTCTTAAACAGCCAAAAACTCGACACAGAGCAGTCAACCTTTTTCGTGTCGTTGTTACAAAGCCTCCCAAAGAATGCATGCTTATAATTTCAACATTTTCAATATCTACTAAGTATGTTTAGTCAATACTTATAAACTTGTTATTGCCATTTAGCAATTATTTGGGTGCCCTTTTAATCTTTCGCCTGTGTATTGATTTGTGTGGTAGAAATTTACACCAATATTTTTTCGATTAAATTACAAAATATTTACAATTTTTATATTACATTCAGCTTTGGGAATTCCCGAAATTCGAATAAATATACCAAAAAGAGGTAATGAATGCATCGCATACATATATGTTTAATGGGAGTTTGGAAGTCGGTTCGCATACTTATTTATGCAACTTAGAAATTAAAATATTAAAGAAAGGCGTTCCTGAGTAAATATTGGTCATCAAAGTTTCTATACATTTTTTTTTTGTTACTACTACTACTTCTGGGATAGTAAACTACCCCGTGCCATAGACGGGAGGTTAATGGTCCTAAAATATATGCAGTGCAGTATGAGAAAGTTGAAAACGTTGTTTGATAACAACTAATATAGAAAAACATGAGTTTGCACTTTTTCGTTAGGAAATAAAAGCGCTGTGTGTCTACCAAGGCGTTGACCCAAAGGTTCGCTTGTAATACCGTTTTGAGTTTGGTGGCGAACATTCTCTTAAAAAAAAAACACTAACGCATACGGATACGCATACCTATTATGGAGGTTCGCCTTAATGTTTTTAAGTTAAAAAATATTTTTGATCGGAAAAAATTTTTATTTTAAATTTCTTCAAAGAAACATATAATTCAATATTGACTTTTAAATTTACACAGGGCAACACTAATTTTGGTGCAGCAAATGTTAAAGCTGTTTAGGATAAAATTTTTGGAGCTGATTAGGAATCCGTAAGTAAAAAGTTTCAATCAGCTCCAGATTTTTAGGTAAACGAGATCAAAATATCAAATAGTCGCGTTTTTTGCAATATTTGAGAAGCTCTAACAGAGATACAAAAGGCGAGATAACCTTCCACTTAGGCTTAAATTAAAGCTAAAATTCTCGACTACTATCCTGAAAATACCCTCCCTGCACCTTGACCTGCTAATTACGAATTCGTAATCAGCACATAAAAGTCTATCAAAAATAACTTTAACATTTGCCGCACCAAAATTGTTTCCCATTTTTGTTGGCCTGTGTTTTATTAATTGCAAGTTATAAGGGTCTTTTTTATATCACATTAAACTAAAAGTATATTTTAAGTTTAAACTTTAAAAATTTTAAATCTTGCACATAAAACTTTGTTTTGAAAACTCAAATAGCTCAAAAAATCGTGGTTTCGTAGATAAATCTTCACTTATTACAACGCTAGCTTGAGATGATACCCATCTCTCTAACTTTTGCTTTTAAAGTACGAAAATTTCTAGTATTTAGTATGAATGGCGCTGAAATCTTAATGATCATAAATTGAGAGCTACCTAGTTCCACCAAGCTACAATTTACCTAACCTAGTAATCTTGTCAATGGTCTTAACTTAGCAACAGCCGAGCGCAGTTACGGTCCAATCTGCATAAAAAAAAAAAAACATTTTTTAATATTTAGAATTTTATATAGAAATTGACTGAAACCAAAAAATTCGATTTTCAGTTAAATGCTGTTAGTCTTTACGTCACCATTTATGTATGCATGTATGTAAGCAACTAAATGATTTCTTTTCATGTCAATTGCAACAAGTTCACTGTTAGTAAGTGAATGTTAATTTCAATACAAATCAACAAATACTTACTATACGGATATAAAAAAATATACATACCTACATACATATATACGTACATTTCTACAAGGGTATACACACTCAACAACAAAGTATTTTTACATTTTTGATTGATTTTACCTTGTGGACTTGACATTTAGCAAACTCTTATTATACATATACCAAATACTTATTTATATAACTTCCGTTCAATTTTCGCAGGTCTTTGGCTCGCCCAGCACACCCATATTGGAGAATCCTGAGCATCAAACGCGCTGGTATTTCAAATACTTTTTGGGCAAATGTAAGTAACTAAATATGTACATATATATGCGATAAAAACGTCAATAGAAAATAGGAAAAAAAAAGGAAAAAATTCTTCATCACATGTTTAGCACTTTCATGATGGCCACATTTGTGTTCGTACGCGCGCCCATTCGCTTATTGACATTCAATCATCATTATTGTGATATCACAAAAAAAAAAAAAAAAAAAAAAATTCAAGCAGACATCGCTTGCTGATTGACAGCCAAACAATGCACAAAAATAACCAGAGGGGAAATTAAAGAAAGAAATTCTCTGCAAAGTACAACGCCGAATGAGCTACATACCTTTGTATGTATGTATGTATGTATGCGTTGGAATTAAATGAATGTAGTGTAGTATAAGAAATTCCCTGGTAATGGTTTAAATTCACTTAAAGTGCTTAACCGCAATTTAATTTTAAATTCAAAGCGATTGGCGGTTTGGTGGCATACAAAGAAAGCAACAGTTTTCTCTCAGCCCACTTTTTATTGCAGACTTCGTTATTTTATCTACAAAATTTTACCATTACGCACGCAGTAGACTAGGACAACGCAAACAGCCACACCAACCAACAAGTGCTTACAACAAACAATGACAACGCTCGTTGGCTTTAATGCGATGTATGTATGTGTGTGTAAATTTATATTACTTTAATAACCGCCTTATCGACTTTCAACAAATTTGCGCCAAGCATTTCAGTATGTCAAGGCATATTATCGAAACTGTTTGACATCGGGAAAAATACTCGTGCTTATCAGCAAGTTTACTAGAAGGTAAAACGGTATTTTAGCACGTGCGCCGGGTATATCAAGTTCGGTTTCGCCCGAACTTATACTTCTGCTTTTAAAATTTTAATGATATGCTATATTATCAAACATATTTTAGCAACTTTTCTCAATCACACGGGTTATATTTTAAGAGAAAATATTTTTAAATTAAAAAAAAGAACCAGAAGAAACCAACTGCATCTCTTGTTTAGTGTTTCTGAAAGCAAGCACACACTTTATTGAAGAAATATATTTAGTTATTGGAAACAATGAATTACACAGGGCAACATTGATTTTAGTGCGCGAAAATATTAAAGCTCCTTTTGGTAGACTTTTTGTGCTGATTGCGAATCCGTAAGTATGTATAAAGTTTCCATTAGCTCCAGATTTTGAGAAACACGAGGTCAAAGTGTCAAAATGTAGCATTTTTGCAATATTTCAGAAGCTGTAGAAAAAAACAAATGGTGACAGAACCTTCCACTTAAGCTTAAATTAAAGCTAAAACTATCGGCTACTACCCCTCAGAATATCATCTCTGCACCTTGACCTAATTGTTACTTATAGTCACATTTTTGCTTTGACCAGGGCTGCACCCAAGCCATGCGGAGTGGTAGCGCATTAGAAGGAAGGTGAAGGATTAGAATTTACATGAAATATGATCCGCTGCAATACACAAAGAAGTACAAATTTTCAATTTTAAATAGAGGTTAAAATGCTTTTAGGGGACTCGTAGGGTAAAATAAAAACAAATAATAACTTAAAAAATATTTGAACTGTTATTTTACATAGAAAAATTTTACGAACTAAAGACATTACGACGCTTACGATGTCTCGTGAATCCCCTAAATATATCTTTCCTTTTTAGACTATTTTTTCTTAGCTTCACCCCGTTTTGATAAATATAATGTTTTGTTTGCGTTACTTTTGTTTTACTGTAATGGAAATTCTATGAAATTTTTTTCTTCCAAATTTGGATTCTTTACATGTTTGTTTATAACTTAACTGGATTACACTTAGAAATATTCCTTAATAACAGTGAAAAAACCACTGATTTCATTTTTCACTTCCCAAAAGAGAGTGCTACATTCAAAAAAAAAAAAAAACATATACATCTCGGGGCGCGGGTGATCAAAGCAGGGTTAAGGTATGCTCTGTGCTAAAATTGCAGTTGTAGGATTAAAAAGGTAATACAAAAAATATTTGTGTGAGTTTTAAGTATAGCTGACTTCTATATGGCCACATTTATGTTAATTCTATAGCTTTTCCTTTGAAATTTTTAAGAGTATGAGCTTAACACGTACGCCGCTTTCTACTACACATTTCTAAAACATTTCCACCTAAGCGCAAGTTTGGATACTTTTTCCTTCTTCAGGCTACGTTCCTACTAACCTACCAGCTGTGGTCTACCTTATTGTCAATATTTCGAAATTAATATTTACCCCATTTCATTTGGCTTGTCCTTTCTTTACCTTTTTTCGTTGTTGTGAATACGTGCTGCTCCTTTCATTTCCTATTCAATCAAATGCTCTGTGTGCAATTTAAGTTTACGTGTGTGTGCGTGCCAACAATGCCAATCGCCAGACAAAAGGGTAGCAGAGACTAGCAAGCAAGCAACTACGTACATAACTTTCGTCCAATTCATCCGCTTAGCCATTCAACTCTTGCGTGTACGCCAGATTTAACCATTCAACTTGGAATTTTTTCGCAAACTTAACTTTCATATTATATCTTGCTTTTGTTTTTGTTTTTGTTTTTGTTTTTGTTGGTTTGCTTGCAGTACATCAAAACTATGTCGGCATGGATGCAGAAAAAAATCCTTACTTTCTTTCGGTTGTGTCACAAGAGTCCGGACATCAGGGCGCACCAATGTATCGAGCAATATTATTTCGAAAACAGGTAAGCTTTACTTATATGGAAATCATTGTGCAATTATGTAGCAATAAATAAGTGTTTGGCGTACTGAGTAAACAACCTTTTAGAAGTCAATAATAATTGTATAATCTAAGCTCAAATAACTTGAATATATCTATGAGTTTATGTGTGTACATAAGTAGTAAATAGATGCCTCCAATAAAGATGCATTGCCACATTATTGCTCACCTTCACAAGCACCTATCTAGTACCTAGTTTCCTTGAGGTTTTCATTTTACTTGAGACTAAGCATTGTAATTAAAGGTAAGAGTAATAGCTCTGTATTTTTCATAAAAAAAAAATCTGTTATGATTTTATACAAAACTCTCTGAATTCTATACAAAAATTTTGAAACTGCATAGGCGGTAATGTAAGTGTGGTTTATTGAAGGCTGATAATTTTAAGAAACCCCATTTTATTTTAAGCTGCGCTAAATTAATTAATTTTCAACTAATTTTGCTGCTCATCGCTTGGGAAGGGCAGAAGGGAAAGATAATAGATTTTTAAATATTTGGGTGATATAATTTGCAGTCACTCAGAGGAATGTACATACATACATATCTAAAATTTTAACTAATTATAATCCTCGTACATACATATTTTTATGCAGCAAGACTAATTGCACTCATTCAGCCATTATGTAATTGCTATTGACAAGCTTTTTAGCACTTAGATACTTAGCGTCTACGCATTTTAAATTATTACGCGGTCAAACTAAGAAGAATACCCCCTGCCAAAATTTAAACTTAAATATGTTCATAAGTACATAACCAGCAAAAACTTTTCTGTTTTTGGTAAGCGCTTACTATGTGTATCGATAGAGTAACACATTACAATTCGCCTCAAGACAAAACTTTTCACTATCTCGTTTACTCACTGCATTACAGGTAATGCAGTGGGAAACCATTTTTACATTCTCTCAGTCAGCGCTTATAAATTTTTTTTTTTTAATTTGAGTGAATACCTCTTCTGATATATGTGTCGACATTACAATATTCAAAAAAAGTGAAAATAAATTGAATTGAAATAAATTAAAATTTTTTGTATGATTATTCAAAATATTTTTTCTATGTACATATGTACTAACATACAAAATGTATTTCTAGTAATCCTTGTTTAGCTCAAGAATAGATATTTTTTTCTATTTTCGTCAAAATTTACGAGCTTAATTGGTCAACAAATTAAAACTGATTATCGTAGCTTGCTCAACCTTTGCTATTAGTTGGATTTAGAAACTCCCACAGGTTTATGTGTCGGTTTGAGTAGAAGATAGAAAATTAAATTTCATTTATGAGTTATTTATAAAAAGCTAAATATCCGCTAAACTTTCAAACTAAAAATACTACTTTATTTTCGCTTACCGGAAAGCATTTCACTAATGAACAATTTTAGAAATACATATGTATATCAAGCAACTAATAATTTCAACTTTGTACATATATCTAATAGCAGCTCACTTTAAAGCTATAAAAAGTGTTGCAGCACTACGCTAAACAAACTTTACAAGCGCTAAATAGCCGCTTAAAAATATTGTAAGTACTATCATTAAATATCCCTCTGCCGCTTATAAAGTTCGCTGATTAGGGCAATACCGCAAATGCTCGCCCAGCAAATGTAGAGCATTTACTTATACATATGTATGTACTGCTCCTGTATGCAACAATACCAAAAACATAAGAAAAAATACTATCAATTTGGACAGCTACAGCTACAGCAAACCACCGTACACCATGGCGTATGCGTTATGTTATACTGTCGACATTGTCGGTTGACTCACTCACGTACGGCATTGCTCGTTAAACAAACCGCAAATAAGCGTTTCCACAACAGAAATTCAACATTTCAGAATAATACATGTTTTTTAACTTGCCAAGAGAAAAGAATAGCAAAACATAAAATGGCTTTACTAAAGTTGAGTACACTTAACATTGACACTTGCAACACACAGACCAACTTTAAGGCGCATTTACATGTTAGCATACTTATTTATGTATTTAAAGCTTTTTTGTATGCCGCTAGTAAGCACGTATGTATGTAAGTGAAAGTGAACATTCAAAACACAAACACATACACATTGATGAACGAACTTCCGGCGCCATGATGTCTGAAGCCATTTTGCATCTGCAAATGCAAGTTATTTATGTGTGAATGTTTCTATAGATGGCTGATGCTGCCAATATAGGAAGCTGCATGCTTTTGACTGCTGCTGACGGTATGCTGCTGTTCAACCAACTATACACTGATTATCGGCACAATGCAAGTAGCAAAGGTGAATCTAACTTCAAATAATGCCGTTTGTACATAGGTATGTGCGTGTGAATACGCACGTGTGCCAAACCCACACATATTTAAATTGCTAAGATTTAAAAAAAATCGAGTCCTTTCCTCAAACAGTTAAGCACAGCTAGCGCGTTTTCCAGAAATGTGACCTTGAAGTACCAACTCGAGGTATTGTCGAAGAATTGTTCACAGAAAAAAATTGTGTTGCTCCATTATTACTAAATTTCGCAAATATAAACTTCGTAAAATTTCCCTTTTTAATGTACATATGTATAATGTTCGTAATTTTATTTCATTTTCATATCACTTACCAAAATCGACACGCTGTCTGAGCAAGCACAAATTTTGGTTTAGTAATGAGGAAAGCAACACAGCAGATAATTTAGTTTTTGAACACTGTGTGATGCATACACACATGTATGTGAATATAGAAAAGTTTTCCGCCTTTAATTATGAAGTTTTCATAGTGTGGCGGAAGTGGTTTAAGTCAACGGGGAGAATATTAGTATGGTATCTTTGCATATGAAATAGCACACATACCAACATACATATATGGGAAAAATGCTGCAAAGGCCTTTGCTTCTTCTTCTGCAGCTTTAGAAAAATCAACCCAAGTTTGTTTCGTGTTAAGATTAGGTTAAAATTAAAAAACAGGTTAAATTTCGATATGAAAGTTTTTTTTTTTTTACTAGAAAGTATGAAGTTGATGAGAAAATACCAACTACGATAAAAACAAACTTGACATTATTTGTTCGTTGCTAAACTTAGTTTTAAAGTAGTTTTACTAAAATTCTTAAATATAAACTTTCATATGCGTAATATGTGCATATAATTACAATACAATTATTTTGTCAAAACAACCGCCATCAAATTCTTTTAGCACATTTTTCTTATCTGTCAGAAAATGTGTTCACCAATATAAATTCTGCTCGGATGGAGCTAAATCTGGTCAATATGCCTAAGGATATTGGAACATATATTTTTAAAATATAATAAAAAATACCAGAATTTCAAATATGTATGTTCATATTTACACTGGATCACAAACTTTAGCTTGGTTTTTGTTCTCCGAACGCCACTATCCAATTTCTATGTAGAATTGCTATTTTTTTTTCTATGGATATGTTTTCGAGATATTTTCAATTTACCGTTATTCTGCTTAAAACAAAAAGTGGTTCCAATTAATCACGTCGGCCGCTGTTGTGGATATTCTGCCGAATTCCACAATAAAATATGCGTTTTTCTAAATTTTATTCCTGCAATTGCAACGCCCATTTCGAGAGGTTTGTCGCCTTAAAAAAAACGGTGCTATACAAATAATATTTCTGGATAGATATTCTATCGGAATCCGCAATAAAATCTCAATTTTTGCATAAACCTGATTTTTCACACTCTCCTAAACTGATCTCGTCATATGTTTTCGAAAACAGATTACAAAACATAAAAAAAAATATTTTAAAAATAGCTTATTTCATCTATAGAACCCACAAGAAAAAATCTGTCCGACTTAATAAAGAATGACTCATATTCATCACAATTTTTAACAGATCACAAAGTGGTGGTTGTAGAGACAATTCTACTTCGCTAGCGTACATTTTGGGCCAAGATTATTCTATCTTCTTCTGTATGTATATTTATTATTTTTACGAAAAACCATTTCTAAATGCCCATTCCGGTCCAGTTCGTTAATTATCCGGTATTTGGCAATTTTCTTTCATGGTATAAAATATTTTGTATGAATCTTGAAAGCTCGCAATCTATGCACATGCATCATATTCGTTGGCAAGTTTTCCGAAAAATTACTGGTATAATGACGCAGGCATATCCTTTAACATTGCGCCAAATCGTCGGTTTGTATTTTGTTGCTTTTGTCCATAATGTTATGTAAACGCTCTTTTTCAATTCGCATTCTAAAAGCATTCGACTGGTATTTATTTTAGCACTCTTTGTTTACCAATGGACAATATTTATAACATTTCCATATTGTCATGCAAACGTTTTTATTGTTGTTTCTCTCTCCCCAGGGCACACAGAAAATTGCACTACCCTATCAGGCCAATCAAAAGCTGACGGTAAAACAAATATTGACACATTTCACTGGCATGGACGCATCAGCTAAGAATCCCAAAGAGATATTTACAGCCGATATACAAAAGGATTTGCTTTTACTTGAGGAACAAGAGGGTTCAGTGAATTTCAAATTCGGTGTAGTGTACATGAAGCCAGGACAAGAGTGTGACGACGAAATGCTGAGCAATCGTAAGTAGAAAATAAGAAACTATGCAGATACAAAGAGAATAAATTAGCGTTAAGAGCATTTTGCTTAAATACATTTTAGGTAAAATAAATTATGCAGCATGATTAAGTAGCTTTTCATATGCACGTTTCATTTGTTGATTTATTTTCATATGTACATACGTATATCATAAACCCATATATGCAATTGCCAATTTTTTTTTATTCACATAAATGTTTTTTTTTCTGTTTCACCTCATCGAACAGAAGACGCTAGTCGAGACTTTGAGGACTTCCTGCACATACTGGGCGAACGGGTACGTCTAAAAGGCTGGGATCGCTTCCGTGGTGGATTAGATGTGAAAGGTATGATATTTCAAAAATCAGGTAACGTTATTTAAGATATGAAAGTATGTATGTATGTACATTATACTTAATGAACTAATTCTCAATTAATTTCTGTCGCTTAACTAAGTATGTTAAAATTTAATGATATGTTGAATCCGCATTAGAAGGTTAATACACATATTTAAATCTATAATAAATTTCACATTGGAGCGGAAGTCAAAATTTAACCCTTAGTGCTGTGCTAGTTCAGTATCAATGTCAGTGAAAAATAAATTATTATTCACAGTCACAAAAAGAGGTGTTCAGATACATCCGGCACAGTTTTTTACCGTCAGTGTCCGTTCCATGATTTTTAAATACTTCGACAACTATATTTTTTACTGACGAGCTGACGTTGCTCTATTACAAGTAGTTTTTAATATAGAGGAAAAATTAATTCACTTCACTGAAAGCATCGCACATACCACGGATGTGTGTGAATTTGTATCACAGATCGAGGCTGCTTGGCATTGATACTGAACAGACATGGCACCGATACGACACTGATTCTTCTAAATCGAATTGATTAATTGGTTTCATTTCTATCAGACTAAATAATGTCACAATTCAGATTTTTCCCAAGTAAAAAATGTATCTATGCATATTTCAAGTTGGGTTTAAGACCTCAAAACGATGGTTGCGTTTTGCCAATATAATCAGCACTTGTAAAGCGTTGGATGTGTCATCAGAAGAGAAAAAATCTGCATCTATAACTCTGTGATCAGACCCAATATTAATTATCATACTTATAAAAATAAAAATAATATTAATCAAATGGGTTGAAAATGAAGGCTCCATTGAATTGTGAATAGTAAATTCCAGTTTTGAGCCACTGTGCTTTGGTATAAAGTGCAAAGCTATACTTGTAAAGATATATCACCAGAGAATACTGAAAATTCGGTTCAGATAATTCGCTATTTAAAAAAAAAATTATGCAAATTTTATGTACAGTATGTAATGTATGTAAATGTATGTAAATAAATAAACTGTTTAAAGTTTCATAGATTGCACTTTATTTAAATAAAAATAACAAAGAACTCGAAAATTTTTAACCGACTTCCAAAAAAACGGGGGAGGTCAGAAATTATTTTTTCTTTTTTTGTGTATGTTACCGCATAACTTTGAACCACGTGAACCGATTTTAAAAATTCTTTTTTTTTTATCGAAAAGTTTGTACCCAAGGGTCGTTCCGCAATTTGTTTAATATGCGATCATTGAATCATGAAAAGTTAACGGTACTCCTAAATTTTTATATTAGAATTGAAGTCGATTGAACCCCAAAATCCATCCCTCGTGTGATGCATGGAGAGCATTGGGGGACTCACGTGCATGGGAGAAAGTAAGCTTCCGAAAGTCAATCAGAGCAAAAATGTGTACTGCCGAATTTCGTGTATTTAGTGGTTGATAAATTTTCCCTTCTATGGGAAGCTTTAAAGCTGGTAACTATTTCAAACAAAAATAATAAAATAACCGATCACAGAAGACTCTCTTTAAACGATCGAAAAGAAAGGCTTCTATTAGGCCCAATTTTTTTATTATTTTTTCTACCAAGTACGTTTTATGTACATACATACATATAATATAAGTACATGCTTAAATATTCAGTAAAGCTTCTACCAAAAGTCGCTAAAAAAGCATGACAAAAAGACAACGCCAAATTTAATGCTGTCATTCAATTTTTCACTTTCATGTCTGTCAAAAACACGATAGGCGATATGACTGGCAAATATTCGGTGTACACGCTGTACGAGGGCCACGAGATAATGTTCCATGTGTCGACGCTGCTGCCATACTCCCGGGACAATCGACAACAGGTGCGTGTCGAACACTTACTTATGTATATATGTTTGTGTTACCGCTTTAAGCAGCGTGAAAGTAACTTTTGAGGCATAAAATTAAATGTCAGCTAATCTTTTTGCAAATATTTCACCAGCATTTTTTTATTTCATATTTTATTTTATTTTTTTTTGTTTGTCTGACAGGTGGAACGCAAACGACATATCGGCAATGATATTGTTAACATTATTTTCATTGATCAGCCAAGCGCGAACAAGGCCAACTCGATTAGCGCGCAAAGGGATGCGCTGGCAGTGCAAAGTGGGCTGGGTGGCAGCGAATACATACTGCCGACAGCATTTGATCCCACATGGATTAAGAGCCAATTTACACGTAAGTGCGCAAGCTTATATGTATGTAAATTGATTTTGATTGTTTTGAAACTGCAAAAAGAAAAATGAAAAAACAATAATGCGACCACTTTTGCTCTTCAATTAACATTTGCGCTGCATGAATGCTTGCTAAGACCACAAATTTAAATTTGCTGCACAAAAGTACGAGTACGAGTAAAACTCTCATTTCAATTTCACAGATATTTTTGCGGTTGTCACGAAAATCGACCATGCCTACCGGTTGGCGGTGTTTTGCGATGAGAATGTGCCACCCTTCGGACCGACGCTTCCAAATCCACCAGAATTTACGGTAAGTATGCTAATCACCAAATCGCCACTGTAGCGTTATCGAAGCCAATTAGAATAAATATCAATGCCCTCATTTTGTGTTTTATGGAGGTAACATAAATTTATGCACAAATGCGCAGTTGTAAAAATACATATGCACGTACATATGTACGTATTTTCTAATCTATATAAATACGTACGAATGCGAATTTGTAAATAAGCGTGTAGGTTGTATATTAGGGTGGTTCCAAAAACAAAACGTGTGGAAAAAGCTAGTTTGGAATTTTAATGCTCTCACCCCCCTAGAAATATTCTAAATCGAAGAATATACCCTTCAACCGCTCAAACTTTCCCATGTATTTTATATAGGGAAAAACCATTTTTCGTGGAAGTGTTATAGAATTCTTGCAAATCAATATTTTTCGATCGGAGAGTTCTGTTTCTCTTCAGAAGACCTCCATTAATATTAACCAATTCTTTATCTTACCATTTCTTAATACTATCGACTTTCCTATGGGTTAAATTATTGCAAGTCTCCTGAAGGGGAACAGAGTTCTCCAAACGAAAAATATATAAAAATAATAATATAAAAAATATTTTCAATAATTATATACCATTTCCACAAAAAATTATTTTTGTCCCATATAAAATACATAGGAAAGCTTGAGCGCTTTCAGCGACCTCTAAATATTTTTTGATTTCGATATAAAAAGCAGGTGTATATTTTTTTCAATTTAGAACATTCGCGCGGATTAGCGCATTAAATTTAACACTTTACTTTTTTTGGACCACCCTATTATATATTCACATATATTTAAATATGAAAGTACCTTTATCTCAAGCGTATCAGTTACACATTATCAATGGGGGAAAAAGTTGCAAATGTGCAAACGATAAATCTATGTAAGTATGGCTTAATATGTTGGCGGGCTTTTGTTTGTGACTGTAATGAAAATGCAGAAAAGCACAATTAAAATTTAATTCTCTAACCACATAAATTGTGTTCAATAAAACTTAAATTCATTCGAATATGCATACATATACATATGCATATATTTATATTAACCCTGCTAACCATTTTTTCAGTGTATTCTGAATTGTAGAGAAATTAAAAAAAAAAAATCATAAAGGTCTCATCCGCTCATGATATTTGATAGACAAACCTGCTTCGAGTGGCTGATTACAAATCTGATATCAGTTTTCAAAAATTCAAAATGCGGATCCAATAAAGCTCCATCAGTTCTTTTGTGTCCATCACTTTGAATTTTTAAGGACTAAAGTAATCAGAACAAAATCCCTTCTATTCAGCATAGCGGTTGTTAGGGTCTGGTTTCCCGTTAGAAACCGTAAATGACTTGATCTAGAAAAAAGGGACAATATACCGTTAACCATAAACCCTCTTCTTAAAGAAACAGCAACAATAAACATAAAATTAGAAAGCAAAACCAAATTCCAAAACAGACTCTGCTTTAAAAAACATGCACTGAAACAAAAAATTAAAACTAAACAAATTTATTCGCCTGAGCCAAACGGCACTCAAGTTCGTTTCATATTGCAAAAATTTTGATGAAGCTTAAAGTTAACTTTATTATACATACATAACATCACTTGAAACGAATAAAGAAAAAAGACACGTGAAAAAATTTCGGCGAAGAAAAAAAA